TCCTCCTCCTCCTCCTCCTCCTCCTCCAAAAGCATATAAAATGCATATACTGAAGGAAAGAATTTATCTTAGGGGGGCAAATGTTTAACTTTGGGGAAAATGAATGGAAAAAAGCAATACGTTTGGAGACTGATATGAAAATAAGCACAGATATTTTGTGTAGATATTGGCTAAAGAATTGTAAATGGATGCAAAATTGAGATGGAGCTAGAAAAGATGAGAAATCAAATGAAACAAAGCCTAGAGAAACATCCATCTCTAGTTGCTGCCATCCCAGTAAATGTTGGGGAGTGCCTAAAGCTTGAAAGCCACCATTCAAAACAGTGAAATCAGGGCCAGCTCCACTATTAGGCAGAGTGAGGCAGATGCTGTGTTGTGGCAAAATCCTTGAGGATAGAGTTAGGTGTGCTATAAAGATTGTTATGTTCCTCCTAAGGTAGCCTGCTGACTTTAGGACATCGGCCCATCTCCACTGTGATTTCTGTCATCTACCATGAATGCCCTTTTGAGTTTGTGTGTGTGAAAAGGCATAGAAGCAAAACATAAATATTAAAACTACCTCTCCAGTTGGCCACTGAATGGAAGAAAAATGCCATCAGGTAGCAAAATGCTTGACCTGATTTTTCAGGAAGGCACCACTAGATTTTTTTCAGTAATGCCAAAGACATCAATGAGATATGTGCTGTGTTCATAAAACACACTTAACCAAATCAGTTAAAATTTAGGAACTGTATTTGCATAACTTGCAATGGACAGTTAAACCTTGGTTTATGCTATAGCTTAGCATATCGTGCAAACCTAGCCTATTTGGTTAATTGTGCAAACCGAGATAGTGGATAAATTCAAGAACCAGAATTAAAGGTATCGTGTGAATGCAGTTGTTGATAAATTCCTCAGTTCCAAAATATCATCAAAATAAAATCGATAGGAACTCTTTGTCTGAACCCCCAAAGTCCTCTTTCTTCCCAGTAGAGCTTCTGTTGTGTTCCTGAAGTTACATTAACAAACACTTCGGAGATGTCTTCTCTTCATGAGTTTGTTTTCATTGTCCTCTCTCTTCCTCCAGAGGAAACAAAAGTCACATCACCCACATTTGGGACTTATGCGTTAAGGGGTTTGTTTGAAGGGAAACAAGGGAAATAAACTTCACTTTCAACTCTCTGTTTTAAGGGATGAGGCCCAGCATGGCTTCCTTCCATCCCTGTGGAGTAATTAACTGAACCCAATTAACATGGAGAAGGAAGAGAGAAAAAACTTCTTGGGGAGAGAAGTTAGAAAAAGTTTGCAGAAAAAAAGAGATATATTGCAGGTTTGGCATTTAATTAATCGTGTTTCTCTTCCTTTTGTCTTTCTTTCCTACTTTTGAACATAGGCCATGAAATACATAAAATAGGCTGATGGCCACATACTGTGCAAGGGTCCACAGCTTATCCACCCCACTGCAATGGCTTTGCATATCCTTTCCCACTGGCAGGAAATTGTTCTTCCCTCTTAAAATGTTTATGCAATACTTCTTCATCCTGCAGGATCCATTAGGCAGCTTAGTAGGGATACAAAAGAAATAAATCATTAAAAAGCCCCCAAACAAGATAAGACTATCACTACGACCACCACCAACCCAACAGCCATGCACAGAAACAGCAATACATCCAGGCAAATGTTAATAATTCATTAACCCTCGGTCCCCCTTCCTCCAGCAGACCCAAGATAGAGCTAGATAGACCAGTGCCTCCATCTTGGCCAGCACCTTCCTTTCCAGAGTGGCCAACTAAATATCCGTGGGGAGATATGGAAGTTTTAGCCTTCTCTTGGCAGTCTAACAGCTGCTGTCTAGCTCCTACATGAAGACGTCGCAGTTAGTAGCCACTGAAATCTTTATTCTCCAGCTTTTAGGGTTACTTACTATTATCCTTCTACTTAGGTTGAGGGAAAGAGAAGCAAACATTTATTTAAAAATCAGTAGTAATGGGGTTGACCATCAGAAAAGAAAATCCAAATCAGCAGAGACCATAACTTTATTAGGTCAACTCAAGCTGTACAAAACAGTTGGATGTTTGGGAGTTCCAAGAACATTTCATTAGGCATGGAGATCAATGCTAGCATAACACCTTTTCTTGAAGAGTTCATTAGTTCTTCATCTTTACTGTGATGCCACAAAACAGTCTTATGGAACCTTTGTCAACAAAGTCCTCCAACACTAGACTGTGATTCCAGGATATATTTTTGCAAGTGTTGTTCCTAGCAACTGGCATGTGTGTGGACTCAACATACCCTCCACTGGATTTCAGAGTTTTTGAAACTGGACAGTGAATTTACCAGGATTCTCAGCTGTTGCTTGGGTTCCTTGTCATCAAATCATGGATACATAGCATAATTCTCACATGACCTTAGAAATACCAGGAGAAGAATGTGTTTATATGAGTGTGTATGTTCATTCATGCATTTCTTTTAAAATGAAAAAAAAAAATGTCTAGGGTCAGAGGACTCAAATGCTTGGAGGCACTGAGCACCATCTAAAACTTGCCCTTGCAGCTCCTTCTATTTTAAACAATTCAGAAAATAAGGCAAAAAAATTCATAACATTTTGATTTTCTGTCATGAGAAGGTGGGATGGCTGAAATTTCATGAGATTTGGTAAACTTGGGAGATTGTAGGTGCTTTAGGGAGGGGGTGAGGCATTCAGGGCCTAAAAAGGTTGCTGACCTCTGAACCACGTAATATCTTCAGAATATTTTACTGGAATTTCTTCAGCTCCTAACCACTC